GGTGTGTCCTAGGTAAATTGGCAGAATTTTATATCTTTTTGATAGATAAACTAATAGCACATCTTACAATCAATGGCACCTCAAATGAGATGAAATTTGGAATTATTTTTATTATCACTGCTCATTTGACAATATGAATTATGCAAGGAGACACAAGAAGCTTCAGTGTAAATGTACATCATTCTGGACTATCAGTTTCTTTTTTCTTTTCTTTTCTTTTTTTTTTTTTTTGAAACTGGGATGGAAAAAATTGAATAAGTTAGCCAATTAGAAATTTTAAATCTTATTTTTATATTTAGAGAAAGATGGATATATTAAAGAGAAGTGAAGATTTACCCAAGTTTATAAGAAAAAATTGTGGCATGTCACAGAAATGCTGGATTTCTGCTCTTAGTGTTCATTATGCTCAGCTGTTTGGAGGAATATGATAGAAAAATTTGAGAAGCACAGTGTGAAGCAGGGGTGAGAAAACCAGTCAAGGTGTCTGCCCTCATGGAGGCTTAGAGTCTAGCCGAAGACAGACATGCAAACAAAGAGCAGAGGTAAGATGTTTTAGTTGCTGTGTTAGCAATTGTTATAAGGAGCACTTGGGCACAAAGGAAGGAGTGACTAGTTCTGCTGAGAGGGTGCCAGTTGAGAAATCTTCTTAGGGAAGGTGAACTGAAAGTAGATTCTTGAATAAGAACATGGAGTTTGGGGAGATGACAGAGTCCATTCAACAGAATCCTTTTAGTTTTTATCCTTTTCCCTGGGGGCTGTGATGCTCTGCAAAGTATCCAGGAAGATTCTGCTGCATGTCAGAGGAACTAGAACTTGAATTTACTGGGATCTCCTCTGCCAAGGTCCTCTGAAGATCTTGTGAGTGGCCTAGCTTCACCAGGACAAATCTAGGTCAGCTTGGAGAATTTGACCTTCATTTAAACCACACAAAGAACTTTGTAACCTCTTCCAGATGCCAGAATCTGTGCTACAAACAGAGCATGCCTCTCAGATTTTGCTAATAAAACAGAAACGCAAGCAACATCCTCTTCTTGGATTATACAACATTTCTTTCCAGGTGCCTTTCAGTAGAACCAGGGGACTCTCCATTCTGTGAAACTCAGCCATTTGAATGGAACTGCAGGCTCTTTCACAGAGCTCCCTGGGTTGCAGCTCAGACCTGTGTTTCCTTGTCCTAAGGGGGAAGATGTGTGTCCTTCAGGAAGAATGTTACTTCATGGCTCTCTTTATCCTTTGCAATTCTGGATTACCCCTGGAACAGCTGGCTTTGTAGAATAGTAATTCACAGTCCTCAGCTGATGGCTGCAGAGGATTCTTCATTACTGGGTTCACAAGTGCCAGCAGTGTTATGGAAGCGGTAATTGAATTTGGTGATCTCCCCATGGTCCAGACAACATAGCACATTCTGCCTGTAAGAACGATGTGGTATGGTTAAGATGAATATATTTTCAACAATAATGAATCTTTAAACTATGCTCCACAGCACAGAACCGAAAAGATATGCTGCTTTGATGACTTGACGTAGGACTTCGAGCATTTTGGAGTGCAACCAGTTTGGAAACATGACAATGTGTACCTGCCTACAAGGAAACACAAAAATCTCCTACTGCTCCAAATCTCTATCAAGGGCTTTATTGATAACCTCATCAAGCACAGATCAATATGTGACATGTTATTTCTTTGCATAGTTAAAAATGTCCTTGCCTCATTGTCGAATAGAATCCTTGTCTGGTAAAAGAGAAGAAAAATCCCCAAATAATTTTCAATGAAGTGTGCCTTATCATGAAAGCACAATTACATAAGTGCTTTCAAAATTTCACATTCACAGAATGATCTCAGCAATCTCATAACTTTGCAATGCTGTTTCTAAAAGAGAACATTTATAGTTTGGGAAAGTAGCACAAAAGTGAAAACGGTTGGAATTGTTTTGGTTGCTGAAAATATACTTGGCCTCAGCGCTATGGCTCTGTAAAAAGGAAAGAACCTTGGCTCTGAGCTCAGGCAGACCCTGAGTTTGAATCCCAGCTCCTTCATTTACTGTGTCCTTAATAGGTCATTAGAGTTTTTGAGTTTTGACGTCTTTTCCTATAAATATGAGGTCAATAATGTCTGCCTCTGTGCATGACATGCATAGAATAAGGGGGCGGTGCTTGGCCCTCCTAGATTCCTATTATATCAATAGCTGTCATTTGCAGGCCTACTATGCACCTAGCATAGTCAAATGCTTATGAATGCATATTATCTTACAGCAATATGTGGTCGATACTTAAAGTGACCAACTTGTCCCAGTTTGCCTGGTACTATCCTGATTTTACAACAGAAATTATGAGTTCCAGGGACCCTCTAAGTCCAGAACAAACTAGGACAGTTGGTCACTCTATGACTGTTATGGTCTCATCTTATACATGTGGAAACTGAGGCTCAGAGACTAAGTGTAAATTGTTCAGTGTGTCACAGCTGGGACAGGATAGGCCCGGTATTCAAACCCAGCCTTGAAAGCTCCCAAGTCTGTACTCTCTCTGCAGCCTAAATTCTGCTTGGCAAATGTTGCTCTCCATGCTGTCTTTCTAGGATGTTCTGATCGTAGCAAATATTTGTAGATCAGATCACATTTTTTCAAATGTCTTTAATAATTTCAGGAATACATACATGCACACATGTGTTTATGTTAAGGAGTAGGGATTGTTCTATAAGTGATAGTTATAATGAAAATCATAGTGCTGATGATAATGAAAATGACAATTTAGAAGCATAACATTCATTTCGAGGCTCATTCAATCTTTTGTCAAGGTACAGTCCCTTTATTCTTCTCCTTATTCATCTATTCATCCATTCAACAGGTATACAGTGAGATCCTACTGTGTGTCAGGTGCTGGCACAGGTACAAAGAAGGCCAAAACGCTGGTCTCAAGACGCTTAGTGCATTTGGATTTAAAGGATCAACTGCAACTTAGTGTGTGAAGTACAATATAGCAGGGAGCCCTGCATGTTTGAACCCTCTTCCATCTCATCTTACCTCCAGCTCTAGCACACAGATCTTCTTTAAGGAAACTCCAGGTTTATTCCTGACACTGTTTTTTTGCTGTTACCTCTGCCTGGAAGATTCTTTCTCCTAATCTTCATCCTTCAGATCAAAGATGAAATGTTTCTTCTTCAGAAAGAACCTCCTTGACCACCTTGAGCTCAATTAGTTAATCCAGAAATTCTCTAGTAGATAGCCCTGTTTTAGTGATCTTTCTAGCGTTTATTTATTGCTATTTGATATTTATCTTGTTTGACTTTTTTGTTTATTGCTTTTTTGCCTGCCTTGGCCAACAAAGTGTAGATTCCAGGGAGAAGAGGTAACTTATTTATTTTATTGTGGGTTTTTTTTTTCATGGCTGCATTCCCAGGACCTTAAACAATGCTAGACACACAGGAGCCATCAGTAAGTGTTTTTTGAATAAATAAAATGATGAATGAATTAATAAATGTGTTGGATGCTGGAAGGAGCCGCCAATTCAGCATGAATAGAGGTATGAGGTGAGCTCCGTGCGAAGGCACACGTGCGAAGGCAATTGTGAATTTGGTCTTAGTTTATTCTGGTTTTTTTTGTTCCTGGTTATAGAGGTAGTATATTCTCCATTATAAAAAGTTAGTAAAAAAAAAAAAATCACAGAAAAGGGAAAAAAATAAGACCAATTTGACATGATCACAAATCATAGTTTGTAGCAGTTCTCTTTTTGTTCATATTCATAGATACTTTTGAACAAAACCAAATCACACTTTTCATACTTACTACCTTTTGAGGAGGGTACATATTCTCTGACATTTTCATTTTAAACGTTGCTTTGTTCTTCTCATCATAATGGATGTAGTAGGATTTATTTAATCAATCTGTATTGCTGGACCTTTAAATGTTCCCATTTTGTCATTACTGACAATATGGGGCAGTCTTGCAGATATTCGAGTGTGGAACCATGTGGTAGCTTAATGTCGAAGCCAAAGTACTTTGATCTGAGTTCTAGATGCCCCACTTTCTTTTCACCATTTTTTAATTTTATTTATTTTAAAAAACTTATTGTATTTTTTTCCAGGACCATTTAGTCCCCTTATACCTCCCACCCTACTAACCATTTATTTTTACATTTAAAAAGTTTCCTCAACTCTAATATGGGGAGGAGAATCTACTTTGTAAAGCTACAGTGAAAAATAAATGATATAATCAAGGTCAAGTTCTCAGCACAAAGTATGCGATGCATGTTAGCTCCCTTTGATAACTTCCCTTGAAGTCCAGTTGGCTTTCCAATCTATCTTCAAGGACAAATAAAAGCTAGGTAAAGAGATGGGTGGGAAGGAAACAAATAGGGGAAGTGAGGTTGGGAAGAGTGAAACTTTTTAAAAATTATGGAAGAATAAGTATAGACCCCCCAGCATGAGCCAAAAGCTAAAAAGCCTAAAGCTTACATTGACTCTGACTGAGTTTACATTAATGCTGCTCACTGCCCTGCTCTGTGTTGCCACTGGAAATACACTTTGTCAGGGCACAGAGCAAGAGCAGGCTGCTCAAAATAATGCTGGTGTTTTAAGCTGGGTAATTGGGAGAATGGAGAGCCCTTTAGCTGAATATGGAGGCCAGAGAGGTGAGTTTGGTTTTGGAATTGAACAACAAGAAGTTCAATTTTTAATATGTAGAAGTGGATAGCAGATTGTCCAAGAAAGAAAAAATATCAGGGCTTGAGTTGTTGGTTTGAGTAAACCCTGCGGAAAATATCTGAGGCCTTGGAGGAGAAATCCCCTAACTTGGGAAGCGCTGTCTTTCGTTTCCCTTGAGAAGAAGTTGTACGTTCCCCTAAATATATCCACTTTGCCTTCAGCGGATGCTGTGCTTGGTGTCTGATTTAATTTGCAAATTTTAATTTTATTTCTATTTGTATTTTCAATAAACAACTTACAAGCACAAAGTAATAGCAAAGTCACGCATTGATAAGATCATGTTTATTTAGTGTTGTCTGACAAGTAGAGAAAGTAAAAAGAACATTTAAAAAATGTATAATTTATATTTCTATAAATACTTTAAAGGAGAAAAGTTGAACACATATGGTGACATTAGGAGCATGTATACATTTAAGTTTTCAGCCTGTCTTACAGCCTGATAAATTAGATATGCATATGTATACACACATATCTTGTGAGTTTGCATAATTAGTGCCCAAGGATAAGTTATGGGCAGGTCTATAGTAAATTCTAAACTCCCATAAAATTTGTATTAGTATGCCTTTCCACTTAGGTCAGTTTTGTTCTTCTTTTGAAAAATTTCACTACAAACACATTTGAAAGTCATCAAAGGTTGTACTCGGGTACCTTGGGCCTCAGTTTCCTCATCAGGGAGATGAGAGGTTGTCGGCTGACACGCTCTGCTTCTGCTGGGTTCAACCACTAGTGAGCCCGGCGCCCTGCAGCCCCTGCCGACGTAGCGGGGCTGGTGGGGTCTGGTCATTGTCATCTCTGGTTACGGGGAGTGCTCTGTTCGGCTTCTTTCTACTGGAAAGGAGTCAATTTGTCTGAAGTGAAGCAAGTTTATGACACTAGTCCACTCAATTAACTGTGACATTGTATTACTGTGGGTGCAGTTCTTTTCCTAGTGTACAACTAAACAACAACAACAACAACAAAATGAATGGACTCTGGATTTCAAGTGGAAGAGCTCTGTGTTTCCTTGGAGCTTGGACTTGAAAGTTCCGAGTTGAGCTCCTCCAAAAGAGCTCAAGAGAGTCCTCTCAAGTCAAACCTCAATCTATGGCGAAATATTTGCATGATGACATGATCACTATGATCCTGGACTTCACTGAGTCCTTCATTACAGTGACATTTTCTTGAAATTGCACTAATATGTTACAAAGTAAGGTAAGTGTAATGTGATACAATCTATACAGTAAAACCTATATCTGATTTCTTAAATTTATAGAAATTTTCATCTGCAGTAAACACTATAGAACAGTAAGTCATCCCTAAGCACTATCCTGAGCTTACCTTGATTCCAAGTTTACAGTTAATTATATTTTTCATTAAAAAAAAAAGAGAGAGTTACCATGACTGACCTCATATGCCCACACAAAATACATAGCACTTAGGGGTGAAGTCACAATTCTCGTCAGTTTTCTCATATACTTTGCATGATGGGTCCCGCAGTAGCTGTGGTTTGCCTCTGTAGATGTGCTGCTTTCTCCAGGGACCCAGGTTACATTTTCCCTCTGCTGGTGTTCGGCTTTAAGTCTTGGAGGAAAGCCTCGTTGTTGTGAGGACAGTTGTTGTGACAGGTGCAGGTCCCAATGACCATCACAGGTTTCTTGATGATCTGCCCTGGGGTGCACTGGAACTCCACCTGGATGGTCTTAGTGTTGTGCGGGGTGCAGCAGCGGCCGTCGCTGCAGACTCCACAGTACCTGGGCTTGTAGGTGTGCAGGCTTGTACAGTTCTTGAACTGCAGGTGGACGGCTTCGAGGGACTTCGTGGTGCGGAGGCACTTTTTTCCTTTCTAAGAAAGAAGAAAGGGAATGATGCATGGATGTCTACTGCTCTTCCCAGCCACCATGTTAGCGGTATGGAATAACTTGCTAGTTGCCTGCCCAATGGCCATTGCTCTTTCTTCTGTGCTAATAGGACATTAATTTTGTTTGTGTAACATAGTCAGCTTCCCCCAGAATATCTGGGAGCTTGGGTGGCCCTATGAGAAAGTTCTGGCCAATGATACCTAAGCCAAGGGATTCTGGGAAATCTTTTGCCCTTCAGACACACATAGATCTTTATTGCTCCCTGTGTTCATTTTCCTTCTTGCCTAGAATGTGGAAACCATGTCTAATCATGCACACCTATCTTTTGATTTGGTGGTGAAGATGAGGGTAAAAGCATATGTATGATAAAGAAAGCTATATTTTCAAGCCACTGTAACAGGGTTTGGTGTTGTTTTTAGCCAAATTCATTCTTTAGGTGTCAGAAAGAGAAAGAGAAGAGATCTGGCTTCACTGCAAGCCTGCTCATGTTTTGAATATTTTTCAAATGTTAATTCACATAAGCTTATCAATAGCATTCACTCACACAAGGAACAGTTGCTAATGTAGAAAACAATTGCTGAAGTTTTATGGATAAATAAATGAAATCTCAAAGGGCTAATGTGGTCAGAACACATCTAGTAATTGAAGTTGTCTGATGCAATGCCCATGTCTCCTACTGCACTATATAACCTGATGGGAGTCCAGAACAGTGAGATTTACAGTTATTTTCTATGAAGGCAAAGTAAGTGGAGAATATATTGACTATTCCATTAGTAATGGTTTATGGGGAACCCCAATACCCATAGTTCAGCAAAGAATTGGTGATAAGTTTATTTCCCATTTAGATTTCTTCACCTGCCAACGTGCCACGATTCTATACTGCTCTTGACCTTCCTAGGCATAGCCTGCAGCTTGTGGGGTGAGCAGACCTGGAGTTCTCTGAAATGAGTGGCTCTCAAGCTTTTTCGTGCATCAAAGTCATCTGGAAGTTTTGCTAAAACACAGATTGTTGGGTCTTGCACCTAGAGTTTCTGATTTGGTAGGTCTGACCTAGGCCCCAATAATTTGCATTCTAACAAGTTCTTAGACAATGCTGCTGGCCTGGGGACCGCACTTTAACAAGCGCTGTCTCACATATAAGGTTCTCTTGATAAGGAAGTAATGATTATTATGCTAGTATTTGCCTAGATTCCAACTAAATTTCTAGAATCTTTATGAAGTATATGTACCATACATAAGTATTTTAAATATAATCTCTCAGTTAAACTAGGTGCAAGAAAAATATAAATTTTGGTTAAAGAAACAATAATAAGCAAAATTTTACAGGTATGACATAGAAACATCTGATTTAACAAAGAAGTTGCTGTGTCCTTGACAATATTTAATGGCTTCTTGTTTCTTCTTTTTTTTTGTATTTAATACTTAGTGTATATTCTTGCCAACACCCACAAAAATGTACAAGGCCCACAACATCCCTTTGTGTGTGTGTGTGCACGTGCACGTTTGTGTGTGTACGTGCACGTTTGTGTGTGTTTGTGTGTGAGAGAGTCAGAGAGAAACAGAGAGACGGAGAGGGAGGCAGAATCTCCTTAAGTGTAGGGAGGCATAAATATTTTTAGGGATGAGGTGTATCTAGGAGTTCTTTCTAAATTGGGGAAAAAAACATAAAGTTAAGATGGATCTCAAAAAGTCATATAGCTTAGCATCTATATAATGAGTGCAAATACTAGACACTCTTATTTTAGCAATAGTTAGAAATTTTAAGTAATGATGCTTAATGTTAACAGAGTAATCTATGTCCACTACTTTGCCAATTTGTTCTATTTCATCCCCTTGACACCTTTGAGGTAGGTACTGTAAATGACCCTATAACATGGGAGATGGAATTGAGGCTTAGAGGTCAAGAAAGTTGCCCAAGACCCCATGGCCAGTTTGTGTGGGAAGCTGGGATTTTAAGCCAGAGTCACACTCTTCAGCATCAGATGATACTGTTTCAGTGCCGAGATGTGTAAATCTTTCATTGTTAGGGACCATTTTATTTTGGCCTTAGGTTTGTACAAAGGCCCACATCATAGTTTAATTTTGGGGCATTGCCTTTATCTAGGGTTCTAGTAATAAAGCCTGTGATGTCAGCAGGAACCAGTCTAAGCTTCTGATCTGCATGCCTCACATTCAGCATTAACACACTGAGTTGATAGAATACCAGCAAAAAAGGAAAGAAATGTGCTGTTTTATTTGGCAAATATAGCCTTATGCTGGCAAATATACTAGTCCCACTGAGCTTTTTAAAACATTGAAAATAATTCCCAGACAGCCATTCATTTCTTCCTCAACAACATTTTATCAAGTACACGCTATAGATCAGGTAGGATGTGGAGGATTGAGGGGTGAGTAAGGCAGATATAATTCCTACCCCATTGCTCATTACAGATTGAACCTAAGGGGTAAATCAGATTGAGGTCAGAAATGACCTCTCTAGCAACTTAACTTGGGGTGGTGAACACATAGCACAATGTACAGATGATGTAGTATAGAATTGTACACCTGGAACCTATATACTTTTATTAACCAATGTCACCCTAATAAATTTAATTAAAAAGAAGAAAAAAAGAAATGACCTCTCTAAAATCAACTACACTTGGCAATTGAGTAGCCAGCTTCTTCAAGGAATGGAATGAGATTTGTCATTCTCTTCTCAACTGGGAACATTATGGTAACTGGCTGGCCCCTTCCTCTTTACCTTTGAGCCTCTGTGAGTTGCTTGGGGTATTTCAATACATTCAAGAGAGAGAGAGAGAGAAAAAAAGGAAGGTAATCTCACTCACTTCAAGAACCTCTCTGCTTTTTGTCTGGGGTTAACTCCCAGCCAGAGCCAACCTCTACTCAACTAGTGTTGCAGTGATTTGCCAAAGCCCCAGCCCCAAGGAGGCCAGGCCACCTCCTTTGTAAAGGGAGGCTTCCTCCAGGCACCTACCTTATCTGCCAGTTGCCTGGGCTCTTGCTCACAGGGCCGCACCATGCAGAGCCGGGTGCGCTTCACCATCTCACACTGGGGATTCCTGTTGGTGACCTGGGTGGAGAAGCCCATGCCGCAGCTCTTGGAACAGGCACTCCACTCTGTGGTCTGTTCGATGCAGTTGATACCTGAGTCAGAGACTGCGACTCCTAGAGTGGCGTCTGTCCTGTAGGCTATGGGAAATACAAAGAAAGACAACTAGGCTGAGTAAAATGTGGTGATAGCAAAGGAAGGGGTCCATCATCATTAGAAAGAAGGTCTCAGCCAATTCTGCACCTCCTAAAACTCAGGTGTCCTTGGCGACAGAATGGATCTCTGTATTTGTAAACCTCTAACTGGTTGCACGAAGACTGGCACATTGTAGGCCTTCAGGAAATCTTTGTGGAGTGACCATTTAGCTTGTCCTTAAGAAGCTTAGGATAACCTGTCTTTAAGAAGCTTAGGAATTTTAAGAATATAGAATTGTTTAGCACCAACAATCACTTCATAAACTATAGTGTTTTCAAGATGTGATTTTGCACAGAAAAAGAATCATGATAAAATTTTAATTGGATGCGTAAGTAGAACCAACTGACTCAAAATACTGATGAAAGCAACACTTTGCCTTAGAGAGCTGGAACTGGTGGTTTGGGTTATGGGATGCAGACACTTGGACTTTGATCACAAAAAGTTCTGTCTCAATGCTTAATGTCATAACGTATTATGACTTGGGGCACATCATCTCTTCTACATGGCAGTTTTCCTTTCTGTAACACATGGCTAATGAGAAATTGGTGAAGCTCTGTGTACCGCCAATGTATGTAATCTGGCTGATTATTGGCTTCTAAAATATTCTCTACTGGCTCTTGAGGCCTACATCTCCCCAAAACTATTTCGTTTACAAGATGAAAAGAAAAAAAAAAAAGCAAAACAAAGATCCCAAAGTGTTACTTGGCCTTTCCTACAGCATCTGGAAAGGTGACCTTGCTCTTGACACCTGTCCTAGGATGAGTAGCATTCTTTAGGGAGGCTGCTCCTGAGAGCACACAGGTACAGAATCCACGAAAGGAAGACTGATTTTTTTTTTTTACTTTTATCTTTCTAATGTGAATAAAGGTCAAGTGGGGTGGACTGAAATATAAATAGTAGTCATGCAATAAGACAAAATGAGTCCCATTGCTGAGAAGAAGCACTAGATTCGGCAGGTTCCCTGTAGAAGAATCTGTGTGTCTACTTGTGTCGCTTGGCTAGGATTCAAACCCATGATGTGTGGGTCTCAGCGGGCGATCCGAGTTCACAGCTGAATGGCCAGAAATGGAGGCCAGTTTCTCATTGCGAATCCGAAAAAGCACTCTTGCTTCCTGCCCATGTGTATCCTGTTCTGTGATCAGCTTCCGGTATCCTGAGTTTCTCACCTGGAAGGGCATGCAGGTCCCCTAATGCCTCCGTGTCATTTGCGTCACAGATCCACTTTTCACAGCACTCCCCGGGCACTTCAACTTTTCTTGGAACTGGGCAGTCAGGTTGGGGTAGTAGCAGGTCCTCGTCACAGCGAGGCACGCAGCCAATCTGCCCGTCTTGGCAGGTGCACTGGTACTTGCAGCTGGGCTGGAAGGTCTCTCCACTTTGGTAAATGACCCCGTCGAACACACAGTTATCTCCCTCTATTGCTAGAATGTGGGGGAAGCAGGACAGAGAGGGAATGGGAGAGAAAAGCAAAAACATAATGCCTTGAGGAAGCTACTTAAGATTTGCAGCACATGTTCCATAGCCCAAGTTGTTCTTTTTCTAGCAGAGAGAGTCTGGGTTCTTAGCCATCTTCAGCAGACAGAGATCCTCATGGAGGCTCCCAGAGCAAGAAGGAACCTCCAGGACATCCATTCCTGCCACTCATTTTATGAATGAGAAAAGAGGTGTACAACTGGGAAATAACCCTCCCAATCCCATAGCCATGTATCCTAGGATAAAGTTATTTTGCGAGAGACTCCTTAGATTCTCCTAATCCAGCATTTTATAATTAAAAAAAAAAAAAAAAAAAGCACTTAATGTTCTCCAAATAGGTTAACTGGTCAAATTAGGCAGAGAGTTAGAAGTCTTTGGCATTCCAACCCCCAAAATCATTACTACCTCAGAGAAGAAAGTAAAAGGCTATTCCAAGCCTCTAATCCAGGGACGCAGGGCCAACCTCCAACTGAATGGTGCACCACGTGGAAAACTGATGCCCAATTAATTAAGTTTCACCAGCCTGCCCTGGCTGGTTGCCTGCACTTTATTTTATTCACAGCCTAGACAGGGGTTACATAGTCGTCCCAGGAGACTAGGGGAGGCTTTGGCTCAAGCAGGACGATTAGAGGTGTGAAAACAAACCTGTTGGGCTGCAGTCGGGGGAGCTGCGAGCCAGTGAGTAAGCCCAAACTTCCATCACCCCCAAGCGCCCCCCTGGAAATGTCCGAAGGAAATGACTTCATTGGCCCTTAGCTCTGCTCTGCTCCTCATCTATCTAGAGTCTTCTCTACGGAGGCAAGTGATTGAATGCTTCTCACCTCTGGTTTCGGGCGCTCCCCAAACCCCAGTCGCCCTCCCCCACCATGCCTGGCACGCAGTAAGCGCTCCATAAACATCACCTACTGCAGCCTCATTATTGTTATTACTTGCACATCACCATCTGGGAAGGGGGAAGAGGAGAGGAAAGAGGGGACAGCTCCAGCCAGCCGCAAGAGAGAGGTCCAGTGGCCGGAGCGGGCAGAGTTACCCATGCAGATTCCAGTTTGGGCGCTGGGGTCCGCTCTGCGGTCGCAGAAGAGTCCGCGGCTCTCCTCACACGGCTCCATCTCCGAGCAGCTGTCGCCGCGCTGGCGGGCACACACCAGACAACACGAGCAGTCGTCCAATACCGCTCTCACCCCAGGGGCGCAGGTCGGCGGCGTCTGCGGGCACCGGGTTGGGCATGGGTTGGGGCAACGCTGAGTGGCAGCGACCTGGGGGTGGGAGAGACAAGAAGCAAAAAACTCTCAGCGGGATCAGTCGAAGGTGGAGCGACCCGGGGACCCAGCTGGGGCTGCCCAGGAAGGCAAAGTGACTAGGGGCACCTAAGAGGCGCGCCACTTACCTGTCCCAGGAGATGGATAAGCAGGAAAGCCAGGCAAAGGCACTGCTTGGACAGATCGAGACTCATGCTTGGCCCACTCAGCATGCTGAGGCTTTTTCCTCCCGCTTTTACAAAATGGGACTTTGTACGCTGTGGATTGGCTCAGCTCGCCTCCCTCCAGGTCCGGAGATCGCCTCCCTTACCCTGCGCCACCGGCGCAGGTTTTATAGTGCGCTCCAGGGACGCGCACAAGCCGGTTGGCTGCAGCGCTGGGAGGAGGGGGGGTCGGCTGGGTGGGGAATGGAATGAACCCCGGAGTTGCCATGGCAATTGGCTGTGGGTGCTGCTCTCCTTAGGGCGCGGCACCAGGGCCTGCGAGTGCCTGTGTGTGGCGACTGGCTTGTCCCAGAACGAGGGGAGGGGCTGGGTGGAGTCCCCAGGCCAGGACCCAGGGCTCGCTTGAGCAGCGCGTGGGAAGGAAACGCCCGTTTCCTCCTGGAAGCTGCTTTGCCTTCCCCCAGGACTAAGACACCGCCACTCCCCACCACACTTTTCTCCCTGGCAGCCAAGCAGGGCTGTAAATGAGGAGCTCTCCTAAAGGGGTGCCTGAAGTTTGGGGCCATATGTAGGGTGTTGGCAAAAGGCCCAGGGGTTTAGTCATAAGGGAAGCACATGCAAGTTTGTCACCGTTTAGGACACTCTTTGAAAATGTTGAGAGAGGGGGAGGGAGAAAGGCAGGAACTGAGAAAGAAGAAAGAGAAGGGGGGGCGGGGTCGGAAAAAGAAAAAAAAAAACAACCCCAGCAATGTTTGGATGGGGGATGCTATTGGCCAAATGGCAAAGTTCATTTAACCACTCATTCCAAGCCCCACTGATTCTCAAATCCCCAATTCCACACTTTTGACAGAAGTAGGAGCAAGACACAATAAAATAAAAATATAAGAGCTTGAGGTAAATACAAACTTCCTTTCTGCTGGAGAAAAGCCTTGAAACACCTGTCAGATCATGGCTGACGTACAACAGCGTATCTCAAAATACACGAGGCTTTGAGAATTTACAAGGCAGATTCAGCGCAGCCACTGTCAAAACCTCCGTCTTCGAGGAAGGAGTGAAGAAGGTACTTGCTTTATTTAGCCAACCAAATCCCTCTTCCACCTGGCATCCACTTTCAGAACCTGACTGCTGTGAACACTGGTCATCTCTCATGAGAAGGAGAGCCCTTTTACTGCTCCAAAGAGGACATTGCTTGTTGGATTAAAAAAATAAAATCATTCCCCTGTACCTCAACTTTGCTGTTGCGTCTGGGATAATTATGCCCAACTCCTTTGAGGACACCCTCTTTGAAAAGACATTTTATAAGAAAAATTATACAGGCTTGTGATGTAATGCTAGACCTAAACAACAACAACAACAACAACAACAACAAATTGCCTCTACTTCATCTGTCTCCAATATGAAGTTAAATCAAAGGCCCCTTGTGTAAAGGGCCAGAGCTGCCCCTGAAATTCCTGCCACCTTGGCGATGAAGTCATTTCAAGCCCCTTCAGGATAGTTCCTGGAGCAGCTTGGAACTTCTGTGACACACTTCCAAGCCTCCTGTCATTCCGCTTTCTTTGAGGTCCGCCAGACTAAGCAGTGATCAAAGCTTGACAAGGGATTGGACAGTTAATTTGTGCCATGTCTAGGTGACTCCTCTACTCTTCAGGTTGATGGGCTGTCATAGATCATCTGGCCTAGTGATTCTCCACCTGACTGCCCAGGAGAATGCACTAGGGTGTGTTCTGTTTAAACAGTAGATTCCTAGGCCCCACCCTTGACCCAATCAGTTAGAGTCTCTGGTGATGGCTCTGGGTAGACAGCATTTTACCTTATTTAAAAATGGAAGCTGGCTATGGGAAACCTACATATGGAGCAACTAGAAGCATAGCTGATGGGGAAGTAAGCATATTGGCCAAGTTTTCAAAGTGTGAAGAGGCAGAACAAGGAGAAATTGGCAGCATTGAGGTTGGGCTGACTCTCCATGGAAAAGGGAAGCTGAGAGAAGAAATGTAACTTCAAGGTAAGGAAGGAAAAGTCAAAGAGCCACTGCTAATGTGAGCTGCTAGTCAGGCCTCTTGATTGCAAGTGGTGGAGACTAGGCTACTTTCAGAAAGAAGACTTTATTGGAGAGAAGCAGGGGTATTCACATAGTGACAAATAGGAATGGTGCTGCGAGTCCTCAGAGGTCACTGGGGTCCGGGTCTCGAAGCAGTCGGAACTCCATCTTTTTTTTAAAAATTATATTTTATTGATTATGCTATGACAGTGTTCCTGATTTTTCCACCTTTGCCCCCTCTCCACCCTGCACACCCCACTCCCTCATGGAATCCCTACTTTATGTCCATGGGTCATGTGTACAAGTTCTTTGGCTACTCCTATTCCTATACATATTTTACAGCCCTATGGCTGTTCTATAATTACCAATTTGTACTTCTTAATCCCCTCACCTCTTCACCTATTCCCCCACACCCCCCTCCCCTCTGGCAACCATCAAAACACTTTCTGTAACCATGACTCTGTCTCTGTTCTTGTTTGCTTAGTTTGTTTTGTTGATAGATATTTACTTTTTGCCATTTTATTGTTCATAGTTTTGATCTTCTTTTTCTTTATTAAGTCCCTTTAACATTTCATATAATAATGATTTGGTGATGATGAACTCCTTTAGTTTTTTTCTTGTCTGGGAAGCACTTTATCTGCCCTTCAATTCTAAATGGTAGCTTTGCCGGGTAGAGCAATCTTGGCTGTAGGTTCCTGCTTTCAATGACTTTGAATATTTATTGCCAATCTCTTCTTGCCTGAAAAGTTTCTTTGGAGAAATCATTTCATGGTCTTATGGGTATTCCCTTCTATGTAACTAACTGCTTTTCCCTTGTTGCTTTTAAGAATCTCTCTTTATCTTTAACCTTTGGCCTTTTCACTATGCTATGTCTTAGAGCGGGCCTCTTTGCATCCATCTTGTTTAGGACTCTCTGCGCTTCCTGGACTTGCATGTCTATTTCCTTCACCGAATTAGGGAAGTTTTCTTTCATCATTTTTTCAAATAGATTTCCAATTTCTTGCTCTTTCTCTTCTCCTTCTGTCACTCCTATACTGTGAATGTTGGACCTCTTAAAGTTGTCCCAGAGGCTGCTTATCTTTTCCTAGTTTTTTGGATTCTTTTTTCTTGTTGTCCTGATTGATTGTTTTTTGCTTTCTTATGTTCCAAATCATTGAATTAATTCTTGGCTTCATCCACTCTACTGTTGTTTCCCTGGAAATTGTTCTTTATTTCAATTAGTGAATGCTTCGTTTCTGACTGGGTCTCTTTTTATGCTGTTGCAGTCTTCACTAAGTTCTTTGAGCATCCTTATAACCAGCGTTTTGAACTCCGCATTTGATAGATTGCTTATCTCCCTTTTGTTTAGTTTATTTTTTTTCCTGAAGTTTTGAACTGTTCTTTCATTTCAGCCATGTTTCTTTGTCTCCTCATTTTGGCAGCCTCCCTGTGTTTGTTTCTATGTATTAGGTAGAGCTGCTATGACTCCCTGCCTTGGTAATGTGGCCTAATATAGTAGGCATCTTGCAGAGTCCAGTGTCACAGCCTCCCCTATCACCCAAGCTGGGTACTTGAGGTGTGCCCTTCATGTGGGCTGAGTATATCCTTCTCTTGTAGTTGATCCTTGGTCTGTTGGCAGGTCAATGGGACAGATTTACCCAGGCCAGTCAGCTCAAGGACTGGCTTTGACCATTGACCACCAATCTCTATGCCTCCGTGGAAGATCAGCTGTGTAAGGGCAGGTTGAAGATACTCCGACATGGCCTGTAGCTGTCCTCTGCGCGTGTAGGCTCTGGGGTTTCCTGGGTTGTGCAGGCCAAGGTCAGCCTCCACCTGTGTTTTGCCTTCTGCTACCCAGCATGAGCTATAAAACAATATGAGATGGCTGCTACTTGTGCTGGGCTTAGAGATTCTCTGGCAAAGCCAAGCTGTGAGTCTAGGCTGGGTGCTGGTTGTGCCAGGCTTGAGGCCACTTAGCAAGAGGTATTGGGACTGGGGGCTCACTGAAGTTGGCTGTTGCTTGTTTGAAAGGATTTAGGAAGTTGTGAAACATGAACCAAGACCAGCCATTCATATGGAAAAGTCTGTTAAAAGCTTGGGTGGTCACATAGGTTGGGCAGGAGGGAGTCTCAGGAGATCTCCAGGGTGGGGCACACAGTTAGCCAGGTTGATGGAATCTCAGATATGGTACCCACCTCCCAGCTCTGTGGCTGTGCAGGGAGAGGCCTGAGAATAGGGACAATGGCTTTGGCTTGCTTTTCTGTCTAGGAGAAAATTGTTCCCCAACTCTTGCCTTGATGCCAGACATTTCAGTTCCTCCCTACTGCCACTGGTGCCTTTCAAGCTGCTACTCTGGTGCTGGAGCTCAGAGGGAGTGAATCTGAGTAAGTCTGTGTGTGGGTTCTTTAAGAGGTACTAATTGAGACTCTAGAAGTTTCTTCCACTGACTCAATCTCTGCTGGTTTTTTGAAGCAATAAGTGATGGGGGCTTATCTTCCTGGCACTGGAACTCTGGGCTTGGGGGCCTGGGGTGGGGCTGGGACTCCTTGCTTCCAAGATATCCCTCTCTATCCAGCACATGTGGATGTGGGACCAACCCATTCCACATCTTTGCCCCTGCTACCAATTTAGATGGATGTAGTTTCTTTAATTCCATAGTTGTCAGACTTCTATTAAACTGAATTCCTGATGGTTCTGAGTGATGGTTATTCTATATTTTAGATGCAATTTTGATGTGTCTCCATCTTTCTATTCTATATTCAGTGTTTCTCTGTTGTCAACTTTGGTCTGTCCCTCTGCAGATGGATTTCTTCCATATATAGGAAATGTCATCCTTAAATTTGTCCCAACCTCTTACATTATGACCTTATCACCACGGAAGGTATATCCTTTTCCCTTAGGTTCACTTTGGAAAATTCCAAGGATGAGTGCATCCTTGGCCAATTGAAGAAGACAAAACAGGCGAGGTATGGGGATTAGCTAATACTACATAGTTGGATTGGGGAGGACTGACAGTTCCCTAGGGAAGAAGAATTATTCTTTTAGAAGAAAGCAAGCTTGCAAAACAGTACTTAACCTCTTCTGTCAGCTAT